GCGATCTTTAATTCGCAGCGATTCGATTTCTCTCGAACCAAAACAGTATTGTGCAAAATGCAAATTCATAGAAGCCTATTGTCTTCCAAGAATCTTTATAGCTGGCTTCACTTACCGTTCGTGAACTCTTCTATTGCTGTCGGGATACCGTTCGACTCCAAGTTCCGAACTCTCCTACCTGCAAATAATAAAAAAAAATGTAAATACTTATTTCTTATTACAAAGTCTGACATTGGCTTAACACGTGCCCGTTTTCCTCGACTTCAACTATAACTTCATTATAACTACGTGAGAACACATATTATAGTGCTGCGAAATCGTTTAAAAGAAGAAATTTTAACTAACTCCCTGGTAACAGTACCCGCAGGTTCAACACCGATAGCACCAAAGCCTGCCACCGGCCAGGATCCTGAGCCAACTCCATTCATTTGCCATCCCCACAGTCCACCTTCTTAAGATCTATCTTGACGTTATCCTCCAATCTCCTTCTTGGTATGCTCAGTGGTCGTTTTACAGATGGATTCCCTACCCAAATTCTGTATGCACCCCTTGCCTCTCCCATTTGTGCTACATGCCTAGCCAAACGGAGCCTCCTAGATTTCACTATCCTCACTATGCTAGGTGACCCGTACAATTTACGTTGATAATAACAATAATAATAATAAGCAATACCAACTGACAGGAATGTGATTAAGAAGAAAGCGGAGAATATTTTGAAATACAAATACCTTTTCATTGAAATACAGCGAATGTGGAAAGTGAAAGCAAAAGTATTTCCAATAATTATATGAGAAACTGGAACTGTCTCCAAGTCACTCAGAAAATATTTGGCCTACATTCCGGCCGAACACAACTTCAGGGAACTTCAGAAAACTGCCATTTTGGGATCTTCATACATCATTCGAAAGACGCTGTCGTAAAATATGTAGTCATCTCTAATAATAAAACTATATAGTACAGGTAGCATGTATTAAAAACAAAATGTATTTCGGAAATAGCTGCTGCACTGTGTACCTTAGGGACAAGGTCTGTGTCGGGTACATGGAAGTAAATACCCTATAAAGTGGTGAATAGATGGGATAATAATAATAATAATACTGAACTCAAATTGCTTGTACAAGTTAATAGTACTCTGAATGGGTGATGGGAGAGCGTACAAGTGGAACGTCAATGGATGAAATTGTCTCGCGTGGCAGGAGTTAAAATAATTCTTAATGTTCATAGTTGCATTAGAAGTGGTCTTCTTCTATGGCTCTCCGGTCCGTATTCGCTCCATGGCCTCCTCTCCTCTTCCATTCGGTCCTCTGTTAGGTCCGTCTGTCCGAGGCTATGATTGAGGTTTCGGAACATCTTCATTTTTACGGTGCAAGGTTGTTATCCTTGCGACCAACCCCCAACCTGGAAGACCATGGTACCTATCTTAGTCTGACCTTTTCCCCTCGACCAATGTGGCTAGGGAGGTAGGAGTACTCACTTTATATAGTTTATAATTTTATTATTATATATGACTCGTCATACGGAAGTTTTTAAGTAGCCTCTAATGTAAAAGCCAATGATCATCACGTTTTATTGTAAGATCGTGCATTTCGTGCAATGGGGAAAAAATTGAAATCTGTTTTGACTGCGGCAGCTCTGGTAGCAAGAAATGCAAACCATTAGAAGTGTTATATGATATATTCTTCAATCACAAGTATCTGTATCCATGGACAGGAGTCTGCCTCGAGAAGCTGATAATTACTCGGCTGATCAAGACATTTTCTGTATTTTATGGAAGACAAAGCTTCATATTCCTGATGATGAAGGAAGTAAGGGCCCCTGAAACGTCCTCAGTTATTTGTTAGACCACGGTACCATTCGAAAAAGTGACTAACGAATAACAGTTTCTTCGAAAGTGTAAAATAATGCAAAAGCACAAAGAGAACTTATGATCAATGCAACAGCGCTTTGCATTTCTAATCAATAATATTTTCGTGGTATTCAGTCATACAATAGTAAGAGAAACAATGTAAATATTGTGTGTTTCAACGGCATTAAAATTGCGGCTTGAAAATTATGGAGGTTTGAGGTAAGATTTATTAAATACAAATTAATGAAGAAAGATGGCTAATTTGTGGGATGTCGTGTCATGTTCAGAATTTGCATTGTAAGTACCAGATATTATCAGACTTTGCTCAAGTGAGCGAATCTGTAGACCTAATTTACTTCAGACTGGAGACGAATTCAAAGCGCACGGCGTAGTTATAAAACAGGCCTAACACAAATAGAAGTTGATCCCAGCTCCCTGATTGTCTGTGATACTGAATAAGCAGTGCAGTACAAGCAAACAGCCCATGGGTGTTGCCAGAGGGTTGGTTAGTTTGGCTGTAGTTCAAACGATGTGCTGTGTCGATAAACCGACCAGAGAAAGAACCAATGTTTCCTCATGAACCTACATCTTGTCATCGGATAGGGATTCAAGGATCTGGCACGTCTAGTGAACCTAAGACTCAGCCCCAACAAGTGACAACGTGTTCGGAATCGATATTCATGAGAAGGGACGAAACGAGCTGCTCTGTAGAGGTACGAGAGAAAAACGTACAGATTCATGCTGTTTTTGCATTGGAATGAGACGCTGCCAGTGGCCTGGTAGGGTCTACCTCAAGATCTTAGTCGGTTCGCCGGTAACAGAGAATTTGGAACGTGATTCTTAGCGGGGAATTCGAAGAACATAATTTTCATTGACTATAAATTTTATGATTGGTTTTGTACTTAATTCTTATTATATCTGAAATCATAGTAGAGGCGACTATAGCCTACCATCTTCATGGCTGTAATTTATGCTGACGTCATTGTACTTCCATATTGTTTGTATATATTTTTGGTTTATTTAAGGACGTTTTAACAAGCGTTTGCTGACGCACGTCGACAAGCGTTTTGTCAAAGTCTTGCAAACTTCAATTATTTTATAAATCTGAACAAAAGTGCTTTTGAAAAATTCATTTATTACGTATGACACGAGGTCTTCGTAAGTTCTTATTTAAAGTTTACATACGCGTTGTAATTAAACAGGAACTGAGAAAGGAATGGAGCACTTGGTTCAGTGTTCTCATTCGCCACCCGGTCGTCTGTCTTCGACATTCCACAAGCCAGTAGGATTCACAGTTGATAGACTGCTACAGAATTTGCCTGCAGTGACGGGAAACGCATTAGGAACATCTTACAGGCTAATTTAACTAGAAGGTGAAATTGCCACTGGAGACGACACTGCTTTCGACGTGCCTCTATGAACCATACAACTTCATCGCCGACTGCCAATGCACTGGGATCGTACTGGATAATCAGAGATCGAGGACAGATACGGGCTTCTGAAGTTTATCCTTCATAATATGTACTTATACATTATGGGAAATGGTTTCAGGGGTGGAAGTGTGGTCTCCTGAAAGCGGTTCATATTTATTGGCATAACAACTAACTAAACAGAAAATCGCCGAGAAAACTTCACTGAAGACGTAAGAGAGAAGCACAGGAGACGAAATTTCCTTTCGAACCTCGATTCTATATCAATTCATCATATCAAATATTACAAATGTTTAAGCATCTAAGTTCTTTGGCATATATTGTCGAAACATTTATGTGAGTTGTAAGGGAAAATGTACATTTTCGGATTCTATGAATAGAGTTTTACTATTTTTTTCGAGTACAATAATGTGGCTTTAGGCGTCTGTATTTGTCTTGAGTCTGTGGCTTCTTGAATTGCCGTATTTATGTCTATAACTTTTATTTAATTTTATGTAAGTATTTTGAGCCCTGGACGAAACCATATAATGAACTGAACACCGAAGTATGCAGTGTTCGTCCATAGAGGGATTCTCCAGTCTGTAAATTATAACATTAAATTTCAAAAGAAGTTTTATTCTTGTAATTTCATTTCATTCTACTGATGTGCGAAATATTAATTAGGAGTGTGACCGCGAAAAATAAGTATATGAACCCCTGAGAGTCAGGGTTTGGTAGTAATTTCAGCACTGCTTCAATACCAGTTACAGCAATGACAGTGATTTTTATGGGAAACTGTAGTTCTATATTTCGTAGAAAAACTTACAGATTACAGAAAGGAGCTCAAATAACACGTTTCGTATGTTTATAAAACTCTTCTTTGCATTTGATGGCATGCTGTAATTTTGTATTTAATTTGACTGCATTCCGTTTTAATAAATTGTTCTTTACGCAAAGTAAATTTGTTATTAAACTTCATAAAAGATGTCTGAAAGGGTGTTCAGCTAGAAATTATGTAGGCCTATCCAATTTGGAATTCCTTTCAACAAGACTTTAATAAAGACGTTCAGAATAACATTCACTTTAAGTCGCTTCATATCGATTATATTACATTCCATACTATCAGACGGAAATACAGGGTAAAGTAACAACGCACTCTTACGGCCTGTACGAACCTGTGCCGCCATTACGTAAAACGTTAACATTTAAATAATTTAAAAATATACAATACCGTAATTGTTACAGCCTAATGGCATAAATGTGTCTCGAATGCGATAATTTATATGTTGTACAAATGTCCACACATTTCCCGGGCTTCGTACGTCTTCTAATGATAGTCACAAACTTTGCTGCAAATCAAGTCAGAACACGGCAAACGTGAGTGGTTAAATAGTTAATACGCATAATGGACTAGCGCTGTAGGATATATGGCCAGCGTTTGGGAATGTTGGTTCATCATATGCAACTGAGGGAAGTCCTGGCCTACTCCGAGCTCAGAATTCTGTCTGTATGAACGAGGAATGTAAACCTGTTTTATAAAATAATACGTTTACACAGTACACACTTAAGTAATTTTGTTTGTCAATAAAATGAAATTTAAGAAGTTTAACAATATACCTGTAATAAAATTTTAATACAGTCTCTGTATGTGCTCGGTTAGGCGTAGATTATGGCTGTATTAATTTTCTAGTAAACATTACTCATTCAGTGAATTTGAATTCATGTATGTATCTGTGTGTATATAATCATTAGGTTATCTCCAGACGCTGTGTTAAAATGCAGAGAGTATGGAGCTGGGGTTGTGAAATTTAAACACCCTGGAGCCACGTACACTGTTCCTCACAAACTCGCGAGCAGTCGGGTAATATTAATGTATTGGATGCTCCTTGTAAATTATTAAAAATGTTTCTGACTGATATCACA